AGTAAAGTCTTAAGAACTGGCGTGCCCCATTCCATTTTATTTTTTCGTTGTTTGAAACTTGATAATTTGATACCTTTCAGGCAGTAAATCCAGGAAAATCACTCTTTCTTCTGTACGCTCTGAAGAGTTCTCCAAGACTCAGTATGTTATACCTATATTTGTTTGATTACACAGAAGCTTTCCTACCTTTCATCCACACAATTTGCCCTACTCAAGAAGACAAGTATGAAGATACTGTCACAAAACTACTAGTAAGTGTTCAAAACATTAAATATGCTACTTGCTTTAGTTATAAGCATTTTAAGACTAGCAGCATAAAAACACATGATGCAATTACACCGTTTCATCTCTTTACAACACAACTGAAAATATCCTAAAAAGTAAGTGGTTCCTCGATTTTATTGTATGTGATCACCGGTGTTGTGACCGTTGCCTTCAATAAGATTGATTTAAGGCTTTTAAAACTTCAGATCTGTGAACTGATTGTTTTGAAGTTCACATGACTATGGGAAGGCTGTTCACTCCAAATACTTGTATTTTAGCAAATGGCATTATAAGGTCTCGCTGTCTGTGATGTTTTGTTCTAATCTAGTGGCAATTACTGGGTTACAGTATTATCTACCAGAAAGTACAGTAAAGATAAATTACTGCTTTCAGTGTGTGAAAAAAACAGTTTTTCAACAAAAGAGTAGTGGAAATAATCGAGTATTGTGTCTGTTTAATAGAAAATTGATGAACAGTCTTTTTTTCCTAATTTACAGGACCTTAAAGATCCTTCTTGGAAACAGTGGAGAGAATTCATTGTAAAATACTTATTTTTGCCATACCAATTGATAGCTGAATTTGCCTGGGATTGGCTGGACGTGCACTACTGGACATCAAGATTTATAATTGTAAACGCCATGTTGCTCTCTGTTCTGGAATTATTCTCCTTCTGGAGGCTCTGGTCAAGAAGGGAATTGAAGTAAGTCTTACTGAGCTTGTTGAAGAGGGTAGGAAGTACATGGCCTTTTAATAGAAAGGAACAGTCTCACGATTTCATGGTTGCTCACTGAAGTGACAGTGTCTAACCACAACTCTGAGGTCAATAAGAGCATGTGAATCTGAACCCGCACGTATACTAGTACTCACTCTTGAATATCTTTATTGCTGTGAATGCTTGGAAGGGTTTCTTATAGCTGGTTTTACTGATCAGATGTAGCAAATGCAGTAACAGTAATAAGCGTGTTCATAACCATTGGGTAAATACTAACTCTTCCCTTGAGAATTGCCTTTTATGGTAACTGGTATTAGCTGTCAGCTGGGAACTAAATACATGAGAATTTTGTCATGATACGCTTACAATATAGTTACTAAAGGATGAGTCCTCCGGATTGTAAGTGAGTTTAGATACACTGAGATTATTTCTGATAGGTGATCAGAATTGCTGTTTTCAGTCACTGCTTTGGCCTTCATTCAGGCATATTAATATTACTTGATAATTGCTGTGATCCTTTATTGATAGTTTTTAGAGCTTGCATAGGAGAAATTCTTGTGGTGTAGGCTGCCTTTTCCTTTTCTCAGCCAGCAGCTAGAGGGCAAGACAAGTCCAAAAGAAAGCGGAATGTGGAAGTCATCTAGGACAAATGTGGAATTTGACCACTTTACCTTGCTGTGCTTTGTGGTCTGAATAAATTGACTTAATGCTTCCTCATATAAAATCTAATATTTTAAGAAAGTTTTTCTGGAGTGCAAAATGATATTTTACAGGTACCTGAGTAAGGACTAAATAATTTGAGGCTGCAGCACATACTAGCTTTTCTTAGAACGGTGAAAACAAAACAGAAAGTTCCTCTAAGCCTCTCCCTTTCCTTTTTCACAGGACTGTTCCTCACAGAATGTGGAGACATTTCTGGAAAGTCTCAACCCAGGGTCTTTTTGTTGCCATTTTTTGGCCTTTTATTCCTCAGTTTGTCTGCAATTGTTTGTTTTACTGGGCCTTGTACTTTAACCCAATTATAAACATTGATCTTGTGGTTAAAGAAGTAAGGCGTCTGGAGACGCAAGTTCAGTGACTGGGACTGGAACTTTGGAGCTGTTTAGCTTCTAAAAATGGACACTTGAAATAAGCTTTGCTTTTCTTCCCCATATATGTGGCAGTGAAAGTGGCAGATTACGTTAACCAAAACATATAAAAAAGCCTTAAGGTAAGTTACTCTTAAACCGGCTGATTACAAATCTGAGGATGGGTTTTATTATCTGAAAGGAATTTTCTATTAAAAAAAAAAAAAATTACATTCCCGGTTTAGCCATGTAGAACTTACACAGTCGTGTCAGCCTATTTTTGATCAGTTCAAATTTCTCTGTTCTGCCGTGAACATTCTGGTTACTTTCAAGCCCGCATTAAAATCAGTGTCTTCCTGAACAGCTGCAGCAATTTGTTTTTTTGTTTGTTTGTTTGTTTGTTTTTTTACCCTTGGCATTTCATACCAGCAATGTGTTCCTCAACTGAAGTTTGCCAAAGGAAAGCTCTTCCTGGATAGGCTTGACCTTGAAAGAGCTTCAGTGTTTTTAGGCTGCTTTACGTGTGAAATTGTGACTGTCAAATACACAGTCTCATAGCAGAGTTT